TATTTTCATAATTTTTATATAAATTTATAATTAAAAAATATTTTTAATTTGTATTATAAAAATACATATTAAAAAATTATTAATTTTAATTTTATATGAAAATTAAATTATATATAATTACTGTACTTTTATCCAACAACCTTTTTTAATCTGACTTAAATAAGTTCAAGTGCCCATTGCCTATTTAAAAAAAAAAAAAAAATTCAAGTGCTAGTCAGAGTCAGAGAACCAAACGCCACAGAAAAGACAAACATTTGGGCTCCCAAGGATCCGGGTCCACCATCCTAGAAGGACGCAGGGATTGCTTGTCCTGATCTAGCCACGTAGTTTAACTGGCCTACAACGTTTGGATTGGTCACTTCTATTTACATCAGATTGGCCCACGTTTTTCGTCAGCTTCTCAGTAGATGAATATAATATACGGAGAAGTACAGGGACGTACGGAAGGGACGATCGGACCCGCCTTCCGATATTTTTCATGGAGGAAGGGAAGACTATGTTATGATGCTAGCAATTGGAGTCAAAGAGACTTAATCTAATGCCTAATTGGGTAAGTGATAATTTTTTTTTTAAATAAGAAATTTTGAATTTAAGTTATATATATATATGATTGAGGTAAATTAAAAAATATTTAAAATTATTTTATATTATGTAATTTAAAATAAATAAATAAAAATAAAGTATATTATTCATCATTTAGATGATAAAAAATAAACTTTTTAATGAAATAAGGGTTCTCAATATTAAAAAATTCTCTTCTATTTAAGAATTAATGTTTTATTGTTTAAAAAATATAAATTGTTAAATACTCTTTTTAATACAAAATAAAAATGTATTGTGCAAGATGAATTATATTATGTTATAAAATAAGAATACTTGAAGGGAAACTCTGGGATCTCTATATTAAATAGATTATTTTTAAGAAATGACTGCAATTCACCTTAAAAAAAAATTATTCTCAAAGAATTTATTTGTATTTAAATGTTTTATTTTTTAAAATAGCCAAAATGTGCAAGTACTTCTTCATATTTACAAACCAATCAGAAACTAGGCAAAATTAGTATAGTTAGTAGATTTTCAAATCAATCTACCAAAAAAAAAAAAGTGCCAAAATATTTATAAAATTAATTAAAAATTCTCAATAAGTTAACAAATTACTATAGAAAGATTCATTAAGAAAATTTAAATAATTTTATAAGTATTTTTACAATTCTTTTCTTACATATCCATCT